CAGAAGGGGGAAGCAGATGCTGCAGGTTCTCAGTTATCTGCTTAGCTTGGGAGACAAAAATTGTTCTGATTTTCAGGAATTCCTATCATGGGGAGTTAAAGGTAGCTGAGCGGGAGGCATTCCAGGAGCTGGTGAGGCAGGGACCTTCGAATGCTGGTGGGATGCATAATCAAGATCTTACTGCAGCTGCTTAAATATTTAATTAGCATGTCGTGTTAACAACATTTTAGATAATTATGTCTCTAAGAAATTGGAGTTGCAGACTTCCTGACGAGCCTGCCAGAAGGTGCAAAAGTGCAGCTCCCATAAGCACACCGGAGACGTGGACGAGGCTAACCTATGATGTTCACATGCCAACTATCCTACTCGGAAAATGAGCCGGAGGGGAGGGCCGGGGAGCAGAACTTAACCAGGGTCATTTCAGCACAAAGGGGCATTTCTCGGTTTTATTTTTAAAAATGTAAACAAAACCCATCATTGGTTTGGAGTGGTGCCACCAGCATGAGCCCTGGCTGTGTAGAGATAGAAACCACCATCAGGAGAGGACCGAGCACACGACCTTCAGAACGAAGCACAAGTCCCTGCCGCTAACCTCCTTTAGCTGTGATGTTTTAGCAGGCTGTTACCGTCACGCTCACACACACTAAGCTAGTGTAGTACAGTATCCGTTCTCTGCACACACACCCCTTTTGAACATCTGAGGTCGATGGGAGTTCACGTCCCATCGAGGGTGTGATTTTGTGACAAAGACGTGTATACAGACAGACACCACGGGGTCTCAGCAGGGATCAAGCCCAGCATTGTCAGCACCCACAGCACAAACCCTGCCACTTAGGCTAAAGGAGGAATTTATTCCTTGAGCTGTGCGCCAGTCACTGGGGCCTGCTGCAGGGAGAAGAGAATCCCAGGCTACAGCCAGTGTGTTAGACAAACAAGATTAAAGAAAGTGACAGCCAGTTTAGGTGCAAATTTTAGGGTTTGTAAATAAAATACAGGAGAAACATTTTCATGAATGACTATGTACACAGGGTGGTTGAAAACTAGGGGTTATTTTTGGTCTGGATTTAAAGATCAGATTTAGAGATTTAACAGAGATCGGGACGGGACCTAATGTGGGGAACAGACCATCCCACGTCTGCCGACAGCAGAGTTCTTACAGCTTCCACTGAAGCACCTGGATCTGGCCAGCATCAGACAGGATACTGAAGCAGATGGACCTTGGTTCTGATTCAGTCTGACAAACTATGTTAAACAGTCCCCGGCAGTTTGCAAACCTGTCTCGTGCTACTGACTGACAACATGGAAGTGAAACTAACTAGAAACACCAGCAAAACAGGCCTGTCTTCATCCTCCAGTCCAAGTGAAATGTACCAGTGGGGAAAAGTAAAGAGGAACGTAGGACGAGCCAGACTGGATCAGCCCTGAGGTCCATTCAATCCAGGATCCTGTCTCTGGCAGTGACCAGTACTAGTTGTTACAGAGGAAGGTGCAAGAAACACTAAAGTGGGCAGTTCTGGACTATCCCACCCAAAGCAGAAGTTTCCTCCTGACCTCCGCAGTGAGAGGCTGGCTTATGGCCTGAAACATATGAGTTTATCCCTTCCAGACATGCATTGTTATTTTGACATGACAGAACGAGGAGCAATGGTCTCAAGTTGCAGTGGGGAAGATCTAGGTTGGATATTAGAAAACATTATTTCACTAAGAGGGTGGTGAAGCACTGGAATGGGTTACCTAGGGAGGTGGTGGAATCTCCATCCTTAGAGGTTTTTAAGGCCCGGCTTGACAAAGCCCTGGCTGGGATGATTTAGTTGGGATTGGTCCTGCTTTGAGCAGGGGATTGGACTAGATGACCTCCTGAGGTCTCTTCCAACTCTAATCTTCTATGATTCTATGATTTTAAATCCTCTTTAACTGTGGATGCTTTATCCATATTATCCATGTTAATGCCTAATACTTTTTGGAATCCTAAGCAATTAAGTCATCAGAGGTGTTATCAGTGACACCGATAAAGACACAGATGGGGTTTTTAGTCTGACAGTCCATTTAAGGAGCTAATTTTCCCCCAGTAGCAGCAAGAAAGAGAAGGGGTGACTGATGACCAGGTGGTGGCAGCAGTGAGTCATTTCCCATCTCAGATGTTGCCTATCAGACTGCGATTTAGGTGCAAGCTTGCACCAACCTCACAAGAGTGCTTTCAAGGGGCCGGCTGGCCAGCCATCAAGCCATTGTACTGCTTGAGAGGCCAGAAGTGGCTCAGAGGCCCTGCCTCTCAGAAATGCGCAGGGCTGCCACTCACCGAGTCCCGGCCATTTTCAGGCTCTCGCTTATGTATGTTTTTTAAGCCTGCATGGTGGGAAAGGGGATTTCAAAACTACTTCTGAGTCCATCCTTAACATCCATCCCCAGAACCAGGGGGTCAAAATGGACCCGGACAGGCACATCTTCACCTCTCAAACCAAGCACTCCCCGCCCCCACCAAACACACACACACACACACACACACACACACACACACACACACACACACACACACACACACACACACACACACACAC